GGTATGCACTGAGGACCAGTACTATGCAAAGATGAAAACAGAGAATCGGGCAGCAGCCAGATCTCAAAGCAGTCTAGACATTCAAGTATTATGTTTACTCTGAAGGCAGGAGGAGGCTGCTGAACCATCTTAAAAGAGAGGAGTAACATGATAAAATCTGCCTGTTGAAAAATTTCCCATGATTACAGATGAGGAGACAACTTGAAGGGGGGCAAGCCAAAGGTAAGAAAACCAGTCAGGGGCTATTTCATTAACCCGAGTCAGGGACACATCTGAGAAACATTGGGGGGGTAAACCAAAAACCAGGTAGTAAGACAACAACTCTGACTGTATCATGAGTGTGTTCTTAAAGAAGTCAAAACAAAAACAAAGCTGAACAAAAGCCGTATGAGAGACCATACCAAAATTCAGTGTCAATGTCATACTTGGTAAGAAAACATGTATTTTATTAGACATTTGACAGTTACTTAGTCATGAAGTTAGCACAGTGTAGTTTTGAATCTTAAGCACTAGTAGAATGAAGGAAGATTTCTCAGTCAACTTCCTCTATTAAATGCCTTCTTTAGGTATACTTCATGAAGCTGCTTCTCGGGAAATACTTAAGCAGAAGTTGGATGACCATGTGTCATGTAAGAATGATTTTCATGGTAGATGATTTCTAAAATCCCTTCAAATTCAAGATTTCTAAAAGAAGAAATGCCATAAACAAGTATATCATAATTACTACATAATTCAAGAACAGATTTCTGTAGGGGTCTATCTAATGGGGTTGAATCACAGAATTTCCAAATATGGTTTTGATACTATTAACAACTTTTCAGTATTTAAAACCCTAACATAACCATATTTTCAACTGCTTAGGTAGTATGACTAAAATTATGAAATCAACTACAACGTCACAAATACCTTAAAAATTCACAGCAAGTAATATCCTAAATTGGTTGCAAAACTGCATGCCATCTCAAACAGGAAAATGATTATTTCCACTTCACTGTCACCAAGCCCTGTGTCTGATAACTAGCACTGAAGAAAAAAAGATTTCATCTGGTTGAAGTAGGAAAATGCCCTGCAGCATGCAGAAGAGCTGGCCATCATTACAGATCTCTAAATAGCTTCCTCTTCCCATTAGTTAGAGGACTGATGCCTTGTCACAGGCTCTTACAGAGATTCTTTGATTCAACGAGCTACTCAATGAAATTCAGGATTCATCTCTGAATACAGTGAATCCCAAATCAGAGAACAGACTCCAAAATTATAAGGCAGAGTCATAAACTAGAATGCAGAGGTCCACTCTTTACTTTCAAATTCTGGGTCAAAAATGGCAAATCCAGAAGTCACTAAATTAATTAATATTCTTACTCTTTAGATGAAAAAGAAATTCTACCATAAGGATCCTGTAACAAAATTCTGTCACATCTGAAAGCGGGAATACAAGACAGGTTTTAAGTATATAAACAGATTTTCACATCTGGCCGAGATGAAATTAAAGGAACCAAATTTACCCTCCTGCCTGAAACAACTGAGGGGGATCGGGAAGGACACAAAACATATGAAGCATTTTTCGAAACAATGGACATCAGGCAACAAAGAACAGTAGATCCTTCATAGATGGGAAACATACAAAATAAGCCCTCCTCTGTACCAGTTTATTGCCCTGAAAGAGTTTCTAGGCCACAGAACAGGAATGGGGAACGGAGGCGGAGCACAGTGGTCTCCCTGAATCCAGGAGACAGAACTTAGTCTGGGGACGGCAAGGTGACCTTCATATACACAGCAGAGCACTTAAGAGAGAGCCGCTCAGAAAGATCCAGAGACCTGCAGAGGGTATCCCGAGAGTCTTTAGCTGAGTACTTAGCACTACATATGTGTGAAGAAAACCATCCACGGACAGTGGAAGAACCACCAAAAAGGATTAGAGGGACACCACCCAGAGCACACAGAAGTCCAGAACAGTTCCCGTTCCCACCGCCAGAGTACTCAAAAGGGTTTTGCCTCAACAGTGCAACAAAGCAAAGTGGTACTGCCTAACACAACTTAAAAGCAAGATCTGAAAAGACCACTGTTTCCAAGTAACTTCACTGCATTCCAAAACAAAGCTCAAAAATATTTTTAATGAGATGCAAAAAAATCCCGCACCCAACAACAAAGTAAAATTTCAAATGTCTGGCATCTAATAAAAAATTACCAGGTATGCAAAAAGCAAGGAAGCACAATCCAGAGTGAGAAGAAAAATCAATCAAAACCAACCAAGAAACGGCACAGACAGTTATTAGAAGACATGAACATTAAGCCAGTTATTACTGTATTCTCTATGTTCAAGAAGCTACAGAAAAGACAAAACATGAAATCTATAGACATGGAAGATATAAAAAAGACTGAATTTTTAGAGATGGAAATACAGTATCTAAAATGAAAAACACACTGGATGGGAATAACAGCAGATTAAAACATCACAGAAAAAAAGGATTAATGAATTTAGCAAGATTATCCAAAGTGAAACAGAGAAAAAGACTGAGAAGAAAACTAAATAGTGTATCAACAAACATCAAGTAGCCTGATATACATGTAACTGGACTTCCAAGAGGAGGAAAGGGAGCAAAGAAAAGACATATATACATATATACTTAAGAAATAATGGCCAGATTTTTTCCAAATTTGATAAAAACTATAAAACCACAGATCCAGGAAGCTCAATGAACTCCAAGCACAAGAAATGTGACAAAAGAAAAAAAATCCATATGCTGCATTTACAAAGGGTTCTCACCCACAAATTCTATAACCAAACTTAATCTAGAAATTATTTTTAGGTTAACTTACTAGGTACAATTTCAACTGACAATTTAATATAATGAATCAAAAGTTAATTTGAGCAAAGTGCTCAGTAGAAATCTTAATGATTTCAAAATTAGCAAAATATAGCTTTTAAAACAATGTGTATTTTGTTGCCCTATTAGGTAAATAATTAGGTAATAAATTACAATAAATTTGTGTTGATCTCATAAGACACTTTTTAAAAAACTAAAACATATGTCTTTCTTTTTTCCTTAATTTTATTTTCCTTTAACTTACACAGGTCATTCAGAACAGAATTAGGACACTGAAAAAACTTTTAAAGAAACTAAAAGGTGGAATTAAAAACAGAAGCAGATTTGAGGTTTGGAATGGAGCTAGTCTTCCCAAAAAAACAACCTGGCAACCACTATTTTGGAACACCATTACTTTCAAAATATACACACACATATATATTTTAAGTATAAAACTGTACCCAAAGTGGAAACAAGCTAAAGTGTCTGTTTTTAGCACCTCAGCTAACTATTCTGGCTTCAAAAAAAATGTACTAAATATTTTTTGGAAAAAGAATCATTCAAATAAAAACCATTAAAGGGGTAAACTAATGTATTTTCCTATATTTATGAGCCCACCTTTTTTTTAGGGCCCAACATACAAACTCAAAATCTTCTGTCTAAAAACAAATAAGAAAAGAGACATAGGGGAACAAGTTCTAAGTATCTACTGTAATGGCTACCCTTCCTGTCATTTGTGTTCCCTAAAATAGAAGTTGGTTTAATTATTCTACCATTTTGCTTGGGAGATAGAGGGAAATTTCCAAGATGAAAGATACTTCCTTGGGAAAGCTGCCCCAAATATATTTATTATCCCCGGAAATAATTAAGGTACACATTCCCTTTTCCTTTCTTAAGAGAAAAAAAATACATTTCAGATAACATATTTCTTTGGGTGCCTATACAAAAAAAAAAAAACAACACTTTTGGAAACACGTAGTAGTATAATACTTTGCTGTAGGATCAACACATATATGAAAAAGAGCACAAAAGTCTCTTTGAGCATACAGACTACAAGACTATGAGGACACAGACTGAAGTTACAAGTGGAACAGTTATTTATGGATTTTACTATACCTTCTTTTAAGTAGAAAAATCTAAAGAAAAAACTAATACCCAAAATATACAGAATTGATCATTTTTATGTTAGGGTATTAGTCTATTAACAGTAGACTTATTCCCTGGTAACATTTACTAATAATGCACTAAATTCCCACATATGTAACACAAAGAATATCTTAAAATGGAAAGTTTCAAACGACTCTTGTAATCGGGTAGTATTCAAGAGAAATAAGGCTAATACACAATTTTGAGCACAGCTGTAACACTCAGTACACTGATGTGCTAAGAATGCACCTAATGCTACAATACCTATGATAAAAACAGTTTTTATTTCATTGATCCAGCTACCAATGTGGTTTCAATATTAACTGCCACCTCAAAAAAACTTTTCTACTTAAAGCCAACATTATAAACATAAAAGACAAAGATCTGCCTACTAAATCATTATCTAATTGTCATCAAGATTTCAATCACTTGCATTTCAAAATAAGCTCTAAGAACACCTTAAAATGATTCCCCAAATATTAATCAAATAATTCACACAATCATCTAATCAGACTTTAGTTATTATATGCATTTAAATTACTTCCTACAGCAACAGTCTTCACCAATCAGAACTGCTGTTTGAAATTCTTTTCTCTGAAATCTGTTATTACTTCACCAGTTTGAAAATTTGAGCCATTTATTTTTAGACACAAAGGTTAATAAGAAACATTCTGTACCAAATGCACATAACTTTACAGTAAACACTCCCCCCCAACCTCCCACCTCAGGAAACTATTGTAATTCACCTCCTCATTTTACCAAATTATCAAAAAGGACACAATGTGGTTTGGATTTCAGCACTGAAGACAGTAAGTGACAATACATGATTTGCAGAATGAAAAATTAAAGTTTCACAATTTTAACAGGTAAAATTACTGGCTTATGATAAATGGGGTTGGCATGTAAGATTATCACCTTTCAAGGTGCAGTTCTTAAACCACCTGAATTTTTCTGACCAAAGATCTTAAAACATAGTCTCTAAGTTCACAGTATGCAATTTGGAAAAAAAAAAAAAAAAAGCTGCCTAGAAAGAAAAAACAGAGCACTTACATTTGAAGCATGACTTGGTTCAAGAATACCCCATCCACCAAAGCCACATATTCATCCAGGTTGGTCCCATTTCCTGCAGCCAGAGGTCCAAACGTTTTAACCTAGAACAGAATGATCATTACGACACGAACGCCCACCTCCATCTCTGCAGCCACAAATAATGCAGCAAAATATGCAACAAATAACACCCCACTTACCCAAGTGACCAAGGGGCTGGTCATGAACTGCTCCAGAAGGGGAGTAAAAACCTCGTTCTCCATTTTACAGAGAATGTACTTGAAAAAAAAAAAAAAGGAACTACCACAAAAAAAAAAAAAAAAAAAAAAAAAGATATCCTTTAGAATTGGTCACTAAACGTTGAAGAAGTAAGTAGAAATCAATGAAAGTCCATTTTGGCACGGGAAGAAAATCCCATCGTGGAGGGGAGAAAAACTCTCCCTCCTCAAAAAACACCCTAGAGGGAAACGAATCGAAATCCCGAAAAGTGGCTTCGACAGCAGCCACGAGCGGCAGCCTGAGCTGGAAATGTCTGTACCGGGCGAGGAGGGGCAGAGAAAAGGCATCTGGAGGAGGAGGAAGGGAGAAGGGGCTGGAGCAGCAAGACAAAAAGCCCGTCAAGGTTGCCCAGCTCCTGGAGGAGCCAGACCAGCGAGGCTGCCCCCAACGAATTAATCCCACCGTGGGCTAAATGAAATCCCACGTTAGAAACAACGTTAAGGGCTCCGAGCGGCCACCAGGCTAGACCTCAGTGTTCCGCTCAACACGTTCCACCCACCAGTGGGCATGGAGCAGCTTTGACCCGCGGAGCTTTCCCTGCCTGCAGCCCCTCACGAACGACAGGCAGCGCTCGCTCCTTCCCCCCGAGCACACACCATCTCTCAGCCGCCTTCGAGCCTCGCCGCCTGCCCCCTTCCCCTCCCGGGGTGTGGGGGCTTGAATGAGTGTCTCTAACCCCCCAGCTTCCCTAGCCCCGCCAGCCTTTTCAGTGCGCCTCTGGGAAGCCCTGGCACAAAATCACCGCCGCGCTCCAGCCTCTTCCTCCGCCCTCTCTAGAGGAGCCGGAGTAACGGCCTCAGAACCGCAGTGCCGCATCACACCCCGCTCCTCGCCGCTCAACTAGCGCCTCCAGCCAGCCGTCAAAGGGAGCGTGCAGCTCCCTCCGCGGCCATATCCTTCCGCCGACTCCCCGCCCCTCCCGCGCCGCAAGCCTCTGGATTGTGGGAGAAGAAAACCGCTGCATGAGCGCGCTCCCGAGAACGCGCGACCCCGGGCCGGCCCCGCCGCCGCCCAGATCCTAGCGGCGGGCGCGGCGTGGACGCGCGCTCGCTGCAGCTGCTGCGGTGGCCGGTTCCTCGCTCGCGCCCAGGATGGTTGCCAGGGCCTGGGGGGCGGGGATGGGGAAGGGAGAGGAAGGGGTCGCTCTGCTCGCTTGCTCATGCCTAATTATGGTTTATTTCCTCCCCGAGTGCTTTCTTTGATGTGTGAAGGAGAGAGTACGAAATCCCTCTCTTCTAAACATGAGGGATGCAGACGGCCTTTTTCGGACAGTTTGATCTGTTGAGCGTGCTTTCGCCAGCAAAACGGAGTAGGAAAATTCACTGCAGTAAATAGCAAAGAAGAGACTTGAGCCGCAAACTTGTTTGTTTTAGGGGTTTTTTCCTCTTTTTGCTTCTTTAAAATCCAGTCCATGAAAGCATGCATGCTCTTCAAAGTTGCACGTGAATATAGTAGGGTTTTAAATAACCAAAGCTGCCTTTCAACATGCTGGTATTTTCTAACTGGAGCAAACGTGATTCAGACATTGTTGTTTGACTATTTGGTGATTGAAAAAAATCCAAACAAAAATCAAGAGCTACTAAGAGGAAACATTTGGAAGTCATCCAAGTTGGGTGACAAATAACCAGATTACATATTTGTCATAAAGCTTAATGCTGTGCACGACTGGAACCATCAAAGTAATTTTAACAGTTCCCCCACAAAATCAAATGTTATTCCTCTTCATTTTGTAGGAAAATAAGGCTTTTCCCTGGGACAAAATGGCATGCAAAAACATTTTTTTTAGAAAATATAGTAGTATAGTTCTTCAGTGTGTGTTTACATTTACATAAATATCTACTTTGAGTACTTACATGATATTTTTAATTAGCAGTAAAAATGTTTTTGTCATAACACTGAATTAAGAACAGCACAATTTCTTATTTAGGTTGTTGAGAGCCTGGGTTCTAGAGTCTTCTGCCGAATTCAAATCCAGGCTGTAATACTTACCAGCTGTGTAAGCCTAGGCAAGTCTCTGAACCTCTCTGCACTTTACTTTCTTCACGTGTTAAACAGGGTTAACTTAATAGAGTTAAATGGCAACCTAGAGTAAGGGCTTTATACATATTACTGGTGTTGTTTTCATTATTATTCCTCTCAAATTAAGAATCGTGAGGGAAAAAATGAAATGTAACCTGCCTTACTTCAGTTGCAAGAGAAAGAATCTTGCTTTGAAGAGCAGAGAAATGCACCTCCCAAATTATCTTAATTAAAATTAGGATGCATTCATGTGGCACTTTGCTAAGTGATATACAGAGTGGAATCTTGCATTGCCCTGGCCAGTACACAAGCCCTGGGTCATCCCGGTTGTTAGCAATCTTTTCCCTTTGCTCTTGATGACTCTTTCTTAATCACAATCCTTTATTTGGAAACACAGACCAAGAGTGAACAGACACCAAGAAGGAAGAATTGCCCTTTGCCTAACTGGTCCACTTTTCTTTGTAATCTCTCAGAAGCCTGGCTAAAAACAACATGGAAGTGTTCATGCCTGTACTGTGGTTTGTGTTAAGACAGACCAACCTGCTTCATTCATAAAGGAAAACACCATGAAGTTTAACACCAGTGCTGAGTTAAGGGCATTTTGGATGGTAATGACTGAAGGTTAGCACAGAAGTTGAAAATTAAGATAGAATTGTTTATCCTCTTTACAGTTAGTACCTAGCCCTTATAGAAATCTGGATTCCCCTTTAGAACCAGATGGCCCCAGATGCTTCCTGGTCTGTCTTTAGGTTTAACACACACACACACACACACACACACACACACACGCAACAAAGAAACATGAGGAGTTAATTGTAAAAGCAGGAAGCTTTAGACCAGACGGAGGTCTGGAGTAACTTATTTGAAAACCTACCAATTCACAATTCTCTAGTTTAACAGCAGCCTTAGAAATGCTTTATAATATCTCAAGAGTACAATCAGGAAACTTCTCTGTCTGGCAAAAGAGGATTGCACATTATATACAACTTAATGGTCTTTGAATTGCAACATCCTGTAAGAATAAATCCAAAAGTTCTCCCTATCCTCCTTTCGCTTAGGAAGAGATTTCTCAAGATTTCTTCAAGGTATTTTTTTGTGTGTGCTTTGTAACTATGTGTCCTGAATTCATTCCCTCTTAGAACATTAAATCCCCAGGAAAGGACTTCGGAAAAATCATATCCATCTGGCTAGGGTCTAAAGCTCCACCCTCTTCTAGTCAGAAATTAAATGATTGGAATGGACTAGGATCAATTTAGGAATCACTAGAGAAAGATTCTTTCTGTGTATTATAATTGAGGCTTCCCCTGCAGGTTACACATACATAACACGACCTGTGTACTAAAAGCACCCATGTTTACTTCCATCTTGATTTACACTACAGGAAGTGATAAACTCACTTGGAACCAGGCTCCTTGGTGACAAATATTTGCAAAACTAATCACATCCATAAGCTAGTATAATAAATGACGTAAATACAGTAGCAGAATGGCACTGTTGTTTAAAATAGCTGAAAATGAAAATAACCCAAATGCCCACTGGCTGATAATTGAATAAATTAAATGTGGTATATCTATAAAATGGAGTATTATTTGGCAATAAAAAACAATGAAGTATTAACACATGCTACAGTATGGATGAACCTTGAAAACATTATGCTAAGCTAAAGAAGTCTGTCACAAAGGCCTGTCACATATTGTATGATACCATTTATATGAAATGTCCAGAAGAAACAAGTGTATAGAGACAGAAAGTAGATTTGTGTTTGTTTAGGTCTGGAGTGGTTGGGAGGAAATGGGATTCATGATTTAGGGGTGTGGGTTTCTTTTTGAGAAAATACTCAATGACTGTTGTGATGGATACACAATACTGTGAATATACAATAATCACTGAATTGGACACCTAAAATGGCTGAATTTTCAATTAGTTCTTAAAAAAGGGAATGGCATCATTGCTTCATGAATATTTAAAAAGGAATGCCAGGTCATCAAGAAATCCGATCTCTCAAAGATTTCTCAAAAGGGTCTCTAAGTCCTCTTGATGTAAAGAGTAAGACTTTAAATTCACCTTAGAATATAGAAGATATATGTTTTAATTATCAAGCATAGTTTTAAGAGAAACATAATACGATGACAAAGAAAAGTTATTTTACCTAATTTCTTTGAGCGTCTATTTCCTCAGCTGTAAAATGGGATAGTGGTTTCATTCCCTAAGGACATCTAATTAGTGCACTTGTAGTTCTGCTCTATATCTCAAATGGGCAGAGGAAAGTAAAGTTGGAAGAGTTGACAGAGCAGAGAAAGGAATCCTCTTAGCCTGGTCATCAGTAAAGTGAAAGTCGCTCACTCATGTTCGACTCTTTGTGACCTCATGAACTATACAGTCTGTGGAATTCTCCAGGCCAGAATACTGGAGTAGGTAGCCTTTCCCTTCTCCAGGGGATCTTCCCAACCTAGGTATCGAACCCAGGTTTCCCATATTGCAGATGCATTCTTTACCAGCTGAGCCACAAGGGACGCCCTTTCTACAATGATTCTCTCAAGTGCCCTAATGCTGTATTCTGAACAAGGTGAACCATCACAAATTCATCATTACGTTCCACGCTTGTTGCTGTTCAGTCACGTCTGACTCTGCAACTCCATGGACTACAGCTCGCCAGGCTTCCCTGTCCTTCACCATCTCCCAGAGCTTGCTCAAACTCATGTCCATCTAGTCGGTGATGCCATCCAACCATCTCATCCTCTGTTGTCCCATTCTCCTCCTGCCTTCAATCTTTCCCAGCATCAGGGTCTTTTCCAGTGAGTCAGCTCTTCGTATCAGGTGGCCACAAGTATTGGAGCTTCAGCATCAGTCTTTCCAATGAATATTCAGGGTTGATTTCCTTTAGGATTGACTGGTTTGATCTCCTTGCAGTCCAAGGGACTCTCAAGAGTCTTCTCCAACATTACAGTTGGAAAGCATCAGTTCTTCGGTGCTCAGCCTTCTTTATGGTCAAACTCTCAAATCCATACATAACTACTACAAAAACCATAGCTTTGACTATATGGGCTTTTGTTGGCAAAGTAATGTCTCTACTTTTTGATATGTCATCTACGTTTGTCATAGCTTTTCTTCCAAGGTGCAAGCATCTTTTAATTCCACGTGACCATCCCCTGAAATGCTGATTCCTCATTTCTAACAAAATGAATTCCCAACCTTCAGGATTCCAGGGTCATTTTCTCTGAAGCATTCCTCTTCCACGGGATAAGTGGTGCCTGCAGATGTTCTAATCTCCATTTGTTTCTATAACATACCCTGAATGGCATGTATTTGCTGACATGTTCTTCTGGATAGATGGGGAAATCCTGAAGAGTGACCTCATTTTATTAATCTGTGTATCCCTGGCATTTAGCACTGTGCCTTGCTCTTATGGGAACTCTTGGTCAGTGTGCTAGAGTCTTCCTTCAACCATGGTGACCAGTTTAAATTCCTGACAATTGCCAAGAGATCACAGATGAGCAACTTCCAAGAACTATTCTAGTTAACTAATGACCTAGAGGAAGCATTAGCTGAAGATACCACTTGCCAGTGAATGTGAAGAACTAAAAAGACACAGATTATAAAACGCATGGCTTTCAAGACAGATTTTGCCAAAGTCTATAATTTTTTTCCCTCAAGGAAAAGCATAGAGGTATACATAAATATGATGTAATCTTTCATTTCTCAGACAGCATACGATGACATGTCTTCAATACCCAAACTGTTTTCCATTTGTTATTATTTTCTGAAATCTTGTAGAAAGGTGTTATTATTGTCTAAGCTTTATTGAACAGAAATGGACACTTCATTAAAGAAATATGTCACTGCAATTGACCTAAAAGATTGTGTTATACTTTTA